TGGGTGAAACCTGGTAAAACCTATAGTATAACCTAAAAAGTAATGTATGCGCACTTCAACTCTTCAGATCCACCTTACTAAGGCCCTAAAGGGCTCTCCATTAACACTCCATCAACCGGATATCATTGATTAAGGCAGTCTGATTAGAGCCCCATTACCGGAACCAGTAAATGAGCATAATTAGATTTTAAGACTTAAGAGCGAATTAAGAGAAAAGGTGCAGCGAGATAGGAGACAGCACTGATCAGTACCAGCATAATTCCCATGATGCCTGCGCTACTAAAGCTCCCTGCTGTCAGGTGACAGATCGGCCGCATGGAATATTCTGAGAGCACAGAGTTTGCCTCAGTTTTGCACATCATAGAGATCACGCTGTTAAATAATTCATAACGGTGGCAGTAATTAGGAAGCGGTGGGGCCCACAGAACACAGCGGTTACTGGAAACGCATCCCTCTTCACCCTTGACAGTTCCCCTACCCCTGAGTGCCAGCTCCTTGATTAGCAACGTGAGCCATTAGCACGTCTTGCCATCGTACAATTTCAGGTTGCAATAGGTAAACATTGATGGGTCTATTGGTGAAGGAGGTCTAGCTGAGGTCAATTTACAAAACGAATGCTCCTAATAACAACTTAGACACCCTGTTGCTGATAAGAGTGAGCAATGCGACAAAACTAGAATGCTGTCGTTATAATCAATGAAGCCTGCACTGTAAAAAATAAGTGTAATTTTAACTAAAATTTTGTAAAAACGCTACGGAAAAAAGCTGTTAATAGGTTAACAGTAAGTTCACGTACTATATACAGGGAAAAACTGTCAAATATCTAACCAGACATTTCATGTAATTTTACAGTAAAATGCTGTTAATTTTAGTTTTTAGAAGTTAAAATAACAAATCAATGTATAAATTACAGTCAAAAACTGTAAACTGATATTCCCAGAATTCCCTGCATGACACTCCACATTTGAAAGTATTTTGTTTAAATAATCATGTTTTTTAAATAGTTTTTGTTATTAGTTATGTATATTTGTGCTTTGTTACATCTTCTGTTGTTTTATGAAAGTTTAATGCATTATTTAAGTATCATGTGTGTTACCATGATGGTGTTTTGTGTTTGCATGAATGACTCTGTGCACCTTCTATATATTAGTATATACTTCTGCTTGTGGCGAAGCTACTTGTGATGAGCTTTGATTCTTCATGTGGCTTTCTCTTTTACCAGCTGCATTATTATGGTGGTCGTCAGTATGTTAAAGGTACAAAACAGATTTTAATAGCAGTGTGCATTGTTGAATTTACTGGTTTACATTAAAATTTTCTTGTTTGTAAATTACAGTTTTATACTGTAAAATTTACAGTTTTGGGCCGTAAATGTGTTTACAGTTTTTCTGTATTTTTTACAAAATTATTCTGGCAACCACAGCTGCCAAAATTATTTTGTAAAAACTACAGAATTTTTTTTACAGTGTGCTATAAGCTGTATTTGTTTTATAATCGAGACTTGTAGATTTGTCAAATGTTGCTACCTGTTAGCCCAAAGATGTTATTAGTTGTGTTTGCTTAGCTAATATGCCATTATTACTCTTACTTGTACTTAAAGATTTGAACAAACCCCTAACCATAAGTATTAAACTTTGGCATGTAACTCAACACACATTTAATACCTCAAAACATTTTGCAGTAGAACGGCGACATTAAACAACATTGATGAGAAAAATGAAGCAATGTTTAACAATAATCTAAATATTAATGTAAATATTAAAAAAGTTAAGCTATGCTTGCTTCACTGACATACTTGAAGGCTACATACAGTATAACTTAATTTGATAATATAAATATTAACAAATATAAAAAACTGAAGCAAAGTTTGTTCAATTGACAAACACTTGAAGGCCAAGTATAATTTAGTTTGTTAATATTGATATAATATTCACATATTTAAAAAGAATCAGTTTGCCTAATTGATAAATAGTTAGCCAAGTATCATTTAATTAGTTTATTTAAATATAAATATTAATGTAAATATTTTTTAAAAATTAAATTGTTTGTTTATTGACAAATACTTAAAGGGCCAAATAAAATTAAAATAGTTAATTTTAATATAAAATTTTATTAAAATTAAAAAAAATTTTTTTAAATATAAAATTAAATTAAATTTAAAATTTAAAAATGACGTTGTTTCAATGTAAGAATTTAACTTTAAAGAAGTGTTTAATTCCAATTGCAAAATTTTACTGGCATTGGAATCAAAAACTGAAATTTTGATATTGTGACAACCCTACAATGTTTTTTTATGCTGAATTTCAAAAGAATATTACACATATTTCATATTTTTTCATAAAAAATATAAAATTTTTACTAGTTTTTAAAATTGTATTTCAAACGCATTACATAAATATGTCCAGTACTGCAAAATTTTCCTGCTAATTGGTATCAGTTACTGAAATTTTGATATTGTGACAACTCTACGTTTTTTTAAAGTTCAATTTTAAGTAAATTACTTATATTGTCTTTAGAAAACATTATATAATAATAATTTTACTTCATAGTTTTTAAAATTGTATTTCAAACAAATTCTATAAATATGTTCATCAAGCACTCTGTTCTTATCAGTAGCACTGGAAGCCTCTCGCTTCTTGAATCGTCCTGACTGAAGTTCTACGTGCGTCTTTGGCAATCAGCTCTCACTACTGGCTGTCAGTAATTGCGATCTCAACCTCCCAACTGGCAGGAGCATCTTTTCTATCATCAGTCCTCGCCCGCTGACTCCGGTAAAAAGCACAGTATGACAAGCATCATTTGAAAAGTTTAGACCCCTCGCACCGATGTGAACCCAGGTCTCTCAACACGTCAGGAAGCCTTAGTGCAGCAGGACACTGATTAAAGAGCCATCAATCATCTTTTCCTGCAGATTGCAATTTCTTTCGCTTTTGTCAGGGACCTCAGTATAGGATCTTTTACCCTCGACTGATTTCAGGATAGACGAGCATCAGTCATGTGTGGTCAGGGCCTGATGTCACCATCTTAAAAGAGTGAGGGCGAGAGGGTGAATCATGAGAGCAAAAATTACAGTACTTTGAGTGCTTTCATTGCTCTGCTCGTTCAAGAAAGCAAAACATTCGTTTTGGTGTTTGTGCCTTTGCGGAGACAAACTCCTACTAAAAACCTTCTGAAGCAGCATCCTAACTGAAATCGAACTTCATTTTCACAGTAAGAAATATCAACAAACACAAATAACCCTCCTACAGTGTAGTATATGGCTTTTTAGCAATACTCTGCATATAGATATTAGATATAAATTATTTTCTGAGGGATTTGTACTGATACTTTTCAGCGTTAAATGAAGCATCAGGTTGTTTTTTTGTAACTGTTGTAGCAATTCTTTCTTTATTCGTATTTATATATGTGTGTCTGCGTGTGTTTTTAAATTGCTTTGTGTATTTATGTAATAATTTTATACTGTCTGGATCTGCTTGCAGTTTTTCTTGGCTAGATCTTCTCTGTAAAACTAGATTCAAACATCAATGGGACAAACAAATCAAAATAAAAATTTAATTATTAAATATTCAAAAGCATGCAAAAAAAAAGCACATGTAGCTAAACATCTGAAAAAAACAAACAAAAAAACTAATAAAAGAACAAACTACCGTTCAAAAGCTTTGGGTCAGTACAATATTTTTAAAAGAAATTCTTATTTTTATTTAGTACGGATGCATTAAATTGATCAAAAGTGACAGTAAAGACATTCATAATGTTACATAATTTTTATTTCAAACAAATACTCTTCATTGTTTATTATTTCTACAAGTAAAATAAAATAAAGTAAAGCAGGGCAACTTTTTTTCAGTATTAATAATTATAATGTTTCTTGAGCACCAAGTCAGCATATTAGAATGATTTCTGATTGGATGCTGAAAATTCAGCTTTGCCATCACTAGGGGATATGACCAAAATCTTACACCACGATATGAGACATTTTATTTCACGGTGGCAATATATAATCACAATATAGTTATTTTTTAAATAAGAAATGCTAAATACATTATATAAAGTAATCAAATGTAAAAAAAACACTGCATATTCTTCCCTGTGTAAATTAAATATATATTTATTCTCATTAAAGTTACAAAATTGATTCAGTCAAGAGCAGTGAGAGATTTTCTCTCTTTTGTTGTTTGTTGTTTGATTAACATGAATAACAGACAGCAGGAATATTAGACTGCTGTCACTTTAAGAGCTGCCCGGATCCAATATACTGTTACACGTGTGTTCTCTTTCTCAGCTAAGACTTAAATTTAAGAGGATACTTGCAAAGATAAGCATTTTGATATTCAAGTGTGTGCATTTAACTGTTCAAGGCCTATAAATTGGCTAAAATAACTCTGTTCAATACTCCCGCGCTCTATGAGCACTGTCTTCACATGCGTGCCTCTCTGAAATGAGTTTTCTTTTGTTACTGATTGGTTTTCAACAGCTTAAATTCACTTGTTTTTGAACCGCACTGCTTAAAAACGCATGTAAACAATAAGTTTTCGTGACCACATAGCACAGCAGCGTCACGCGAGTGTGTAACCGCAAATAGAGACCATAATCCAAAATCTCTACCGGTTGACAAATTTCTATCGGTTAATCGTGTCTAACGGTATATTGCCCACCCCTATCATCACAGGAATACATTACATCGTAAAATACATAAAAAATTACAAGTTAATTTGAATTGTAATAATATGTCCCAATATTACTGTTTTTCTGTATTTTTGATCAAATAAATGCAGCCTTGATGAGCATAAGAGACTTTCTTCAATAACATTAAAAATCTTAATCTCAAACTTCTGAATGATAAAAATTATTATCATTATTTTTTTTTTAAATGATCAAAGTTTCGGTTTCTTTCCAGTATTTAGTATTGGCATAAATCATGACTCGAGTCTTGTTATGGATTTCTTATATATTTTTATACAGTAAGACTTTACAATAAAATACCACAAAATAGACCCCATGCACTACACTTCAAACAATATTAGTGTATTACAATGTGTTATACAGATACATAAAACATGACAATGTCAAAAATACTTACCTCTCAACTAAAGTTTTCAACAAAAGCAGAACAACGTTCAAGGCTCGTTTTATAACCAAATACTGCTCACACACGGTCACTTCACATGCAGTGGACCTGACACTAGTCTTCTATCCAGGAAACCTTACGGCTAAAGAGTCCTGGGTGTTTACTGCATTGAGTGTGCGCACACATTTAAAGTGCCCTTTAACAGAACCTCTCTCGCTCCTTCCTTTTCATTAAAGTTGTGAACTGGAACATGCCGGGTGTCTCCATGGCTGAAATTTGACGGCATCCATTACGGAGAAGGAGGTGTCCTCAGGGAATTATAGGAGCCTTGGCTCCCGCCGGCCGTGCTCTGACCAACCCACTGCCAGAGAGAAAAATCAGGGTTAGCTGAGGAGAACTCAAATCAGATCAGATGCTGAAAATCATATTTAAAGAGCGCACGCAATACATATCGTGGGAGGAAACCAAATTGAATTCCGTGGCACTGAAGGGCCCAAGTGCTGCAATGTTATTATGAGTGTACGGTCACAATGGTCCTCTTAGCGCCCGAATGGCTCGTTTTTGCCTTCAAATCAATTACGGCTGCAAAAATCAGCTGAAATCTTCATGAAACGCTCTCACCGACCTCAGATTTCCCTTTTTTGCATGACGTAATGCTGACCTCCGTCTTCTGAGATGCGCTTTTCGTATTTGTTTATGCGAGTTGTGCCGAGGCTATAGAGGTTTTGGCGGCTCCGGGAGCATAACATGGTTGAGGAGGACATGGATTGTGAATTATTGAAGATGTGCAGTCTGTGCTCCTGAGAGGTCAGAGATTTGCAGACAAGATTTCAGAGCAGTAATGTGTGAAAAGCCTTAAAAAAATGGAAAGATGATGATGAAAATAAGTGTTAACTTAAAAGAGACTTTATAGGATTCCTCAAAGGGATTGGAGGCAAACATAAACAAGCCCTTACACTGGATTTTTCTGACAAAATATTATCACCTGAAATAACTTTTGTTTCCTCAGCAAACTTGACTCTAATAACTTCTGCAATGCTGTTTTGTATGATGTAATAAAGGCAGCATATGATGTTAAATCAAATCTGTTGTAAACATACTGAAACTTTCAGAACTAAACACTTTCTTCCCAATCCTAAAAAGAAAACAAAAACATCTGAACTTAAGCTACATAACAGCTTATCCCAAAATCTCTGATGTCAGCAAGCCAAACGCAGTAGAGCAGTGTCATTGTAGTACATAATTGTAAGCGTAAATGTAAAAATTAACATATGAATACATTTCAACAGCACATGTTTGTTGTTCAGACACTTGCCACACCAAGAGAGTCACAGTGAGACAATAAGGAGGGAGCAGGATACTATTGTTCCTAAACACCAGAATAAATAAGACTAAAATGTGGTGAAGTATGTGTATTTTATGAGAACTATAAAAAGAATGTACATTAAAAATAGTGTATGATACAAACAAGCAATAAACTAAATAATAAATATATAAAAATACTATTATTAAAAAAAAATTTTTTTTAATGAAAAAGTATTAATATCAAAACAAAACAATAAAATTGGAGTTAAAGCAAAAGTAATATCAAAGTATGTCAAGTCTGTGTGTATTTTCCACAACTTTTCCACAACAATTTTCCAAAAACAATGTATATTAAAAATAGAGTATAATACAAATAAGTAATAAACTAAATAAAAAAATAATAAAATATACAAAATTATAAATATATAATAAAATATTATTATAAAAAATGTGAATGTATAAATAAATGGGTAAGAATAAATAAATAATAAAAAGCAAATACAAATAATATAAACATAAATAGTTTGAAAAGAATGTACATTGAAAATGGTGTAGAATACAAATATGTAACAAACTAAATAATAATAATAATAATAATAACAAATAATAAAATATACAAAATAATGAATACATAATAAAAATATTATTATGAAAATAAAAATGAAATATATAAATAAGAGTAAATAAAATATAAACAAATTAAAGAAAAAATTCAATTAAATTATAGCAAATAAATACAAAAATAAAATAAAATGGGAGTTAAAGCAGATGTAATATCAAGAACAGGCCTTTACAGCATTTTGTTCAACTATATCATCTCTCTATTGCTATGCACATTTCATCATATTGTGGGCTTCTTCAGCTTTTTCCCAAAAGATGGCATTGTGCCTTTTAGCTTGCAATATGATTATGTCTATTAACATTTGAATACGCCTTTTATTATTTATATGATCTGGAAGAACACCCAGAATAAACAGCCCTGGATCCAAGAGTAAATTTAAAGATTGATTCAGAAGACCTCAAAACATCAGCAAATGTAATTAACAGGCTGTTAGTGAATCTAGGTCTCTCTCCAAACACTTCTCAGAAAACAAATCATTCTGCTGAAATTGAAATAAAGCGCTAACATTACCTCTACAAGCGGATGCCAGCGGGCGATGGGTTTGCGTGGGTACGTGAGCATCTCATTCCAGTGATCGCGTCCCAAACTCTGAGCTCGGTTTCCCACATGACACACGCCAATAACCTCATTGTGACCTACGCTGTGAATGAGAAGAGCATAGCCAAGCTTAAAATGTGACCGCTCAACCATGACACCCCTCTTTTCCAACTTTAAAGTGAAAAATATGATGATTTTTGCAAGATATGTTTTTTATACGTCTCTGTCTCCATCCGTTCTCGATTCATTTATTTGTGCAGCAGCGATGAGACACCGAAAGGCTGCGGTTCGTACTTCTCAAACAGGACAGTGATCTAAATCTGATATGAATCTCTGGCTGCATTGGGAATATACAGCTGAGGCTGTTCCTCAGATCACCCACCAGCACTAAGAATAAACTTCTATAGTCTCTGAGCACTGTGCTTGGCAAAATTTAAAAGCTGATTTAATTTAAATGAGACTCTTTTTCAGATCAGATTTGACAGTGAACGCTCACTAGCTCCCTCCACGCTGCTAGCTGTACGTTTGGATTAGCTCTGCTAAAACTGAAGGGCTGACAACAGTGTTGGGGAAGCGACGTTGAAAAGACAGGCTTATCTAACAAGACCAAGCTGGTTTATGCTGGTTTGGATGCTTGCTGCTTGCATATGTTGGTCTTTTCAACAAGCTAGTACAAGATAGCGTTTTTTTAAAGGTGTAAATGAACAATGAATCAGTCATTTTCTGAATCTCTTCGTGTACATGAATCATTTGAACAAATCAGTTACTAAAATGAATCAGACTTCCCAATGCGACATATTCAAATGTGTTTGATCTTTTCTTCAGTTCGCTCAGATGTAAATGCGACAATGATATAATACAATGATGCGAGTAATGCCGCTAGTTTTAAGTGAAAAGCTTCTACGACACATGAGTTTCTTACCGGTCATAGTCCATTACTGCTATTAAAAGACTTATTTGGTCGATGTTCTCAGGTGGAACATCAAAAACAATAGCTTCATTGTAGACCGGATTGAGAGTGTTCCTTTTCGTTGATGTTTTCCTTTTCTTCAGTCTCCGGCCGTCACACATTAGAGAAACCTTTACATAAGGATCTTAAAGACAGAAAAAGCACATAAATAGCCATTTAGAACTGAATTACAAATGGCAGCCGAATATGAAATTACTCAAAAATAAATAAAATTAAATAAATGTTAAAACGCATAAATAAATTAAATAATTAAATACATAAATAAATGTTTGTTTGTTTGTTCGTTCATTTAATTATTTAATTACTTATTTCCTCCACATTTCATTTTCAGGGGTACGGTTGTCGGCACGTAAATAAATAAATAAAAAGTATGGATTCCATTGTTAGTACATGAGTGTGAATGAATAAATGAATAAACAAACAAACAAATAAATGAATAAATAAATCAAATGAATGAATAAATAGAGTAAATAAATTAATTAACACTTATTTATGAATTTATTTAATTATTTAATTATGTATTTAACAATTTATTTATATATGTCAACATTTATGTAATGCTTTAATTTTGAGTAATTTGGCCCTCCAATATGAAATAGGGTTTAAAAAGGATGCAGAATTACAGAATTTGAATTTAGAAAAGTGAATTAAAATGGACTGATATATAGATATATTTGCACAAGTGTTCTTCCACCCTAGCTAAATAAATCCAATTATTTCTATTCAATATTTTATATAACAGTTACTAAAATAAATATTTAGAAATTTTTTTTTGGTTTTATTTATATAATTTATTTGTAGCTTACAATTTATATATATACACACACATACACATTATAATTATTTCATTTCATATATATATATAGTTATGTTATTTTATTTAAATATTAATTTTATTTTGATGCATTTCATTTATATATATACAGTGGGGAAAAAAAGTATTTAGTCAGCCACCAATTGTGCAAGTTCTCCCACTTAAAAAGATTTTGTCTCTCATAGTTGAGGTATACCTATGATGAAAATTACAGGCCTCTCTCATCTTTTTAAGTGGGAGAACTTGCACAATTGGTGGCTGACTAAATACTTTTTTGCCCCACTGTATATATATATATAGAATATTACATTTATTTTATTTATTATTTTTATTTATTTTATTTTATATTGATGCACCAGGGTGGAAAAGCACTTCTGTAAATGTTCTTTATTGCTCTGCTTTTCAACCTGATCTGATTGTACTCCAGTGCAACATCCTGTGTGTTACTTGTGGTTAGATGAACTACAAAAGAAATTCTGGATTTTGCCCAACCCCACTCAGCAACTACTTGTGTATGTAAAATCTCCTGCCACATTCTCAAGTGTTTGGTCGATTAAATCAATGCTCTTTTAGAGAGCCCAGGGCGCTCTATGTTTTAACATGTCATGATGACACCAAAAAAATCATTACCGCTGAGACAATAAGTCATTTAGAGGTGAGGACGATGGGGAGCCTACCAGACGCTCCTGTGATGTCCATGGCTTTAAGATTTCTGGCTTTAATTATGGTTATTGTCAGTCGGCCGGCAGTTGGCAAGTAACAAAGAGAAAACATCAGATCTCCCAGATCCACATTATCCTAGAGGAGACACAGAAACAGGATACATTAACTTAAAGAATCATATCATAAACGCTGATTTAGTGCAAATGAAACAACATTTACCAAGCCTTCCCTGAGCTTCTACACATTACAACGGTCTGTTTATTCTTTCAGTCCATAGCAGTGTGCAGCATCATATAAACAAACACTTTCCTGGATGCAACTTGTACAGAAATGGCTTTTTAAATGGTCAAAACCATGCAAATGTTTATTTACTTGATGTTTTAAGTGCAAAACCCACTGCCATAATCCTTAAGTGTGTAAGGGTTGCTCAAAATGTCCATTTAAAGTGTTAAACCCCAAAGTTTTATATTTATGTTTTGGAGTTTCTTCATACAGAAAGCTGAAAGGCACACATTGTTTTATGAATGTGTCACACTGTAATTCAAGCTTGGCAAAGACGCTGCTATTGAAGAATAGTGCAGTGCCAATCATATCCGACCCCACAGCAAACACTGCCTGTTCATATTTAAGGGTCAGAAAGAGGGTAGTAAACAGTCATGTACAGTTTTTGGAGCATATTATAAATGGATATCAAAGGGGAAACGGCATACAATACAGCTCGTTTAAGAAATAAAACACATTATTATGGTTGTCTGACGTATCGTAAGCACTCAATACAGATTTATGGGAACAGAGAAGTGTTTCACCTCAAGGGAATACGGTTTTTGCACGTTGTTATCCACTCCTAACAGCAAGCAGAAACCTGCTGTCTAATTATCACTTCTGAAAATAGACGCAATTTGCACTTTTTTAAAATTAGAGACGTTCATATAACAAACTAAAAATGCAATCCATAATTAACATCTCATCATAATGAGCCTCAGTGTACTGGGAGCCAACAAAGCATAAACTATCGCTTTAATGGTGATCTTGTCACACACACACACACCACTCAAATTTATGATAATGACTGTTTATTTGAATACGACAGAAGTATAACAGCGCTAACTAGCTGATGGCAGCAGAAGAATGCACACATTTCAAGTCTTTCACAAGCTGATGTACTGCTGTATATGATTTTTAATGTTTTTGAAACAAGTATCTTATGCTTACCAAGGCTGCATTTATTTGATAAAAAATACAGTAATATTCTGAAATATTATTACTATCTAAAATAAGTTTTCTATTTTATTATCCTATATATATATATATATATATATTATATATATATATATATATTTTTAGAATTCTTTAAAAAGCATTTATTTGAAATGGTAATGTTTTGTATTATAAATGTTTTACTGTCACTTTAATGCACACTTGCTGAATAAATGCACTAAATTATTTTTATTTAAAAAAATTGTTCTTTGTACTTTTTTTTGTAAACATTGCTGAGTTGCAGTTCATCGCTGTTTTCACAAAAATATTAAGCAGCAAAAACTGTTTTCAACATAATATAACAATCAGGTAAAAAAGGCACCTTTGCCACTATAGGAATAAATACATTTTAAAATATATTCAAATAGAAAAAAAGTTATTGTAAAAATATTTTGCAATATTATTGCTTTACTGTATTTTTGATCAAATAAATATAGCCTTGATGAACATGCGAGACTTCTTTCCAAAAATATTAGTAAAAAATACTTAGAAATTTTGGCCAGCATTATGCATGTACAGTAATGTGTGTATATATATATATATATATATACAGTGGGTACGGACAAATGGCTGCAATATAACAAAGAGTGAAAAATTTAAGGGGGTCTGAATACTTTCCGTACCCACTGTATATATATATAAAAAATCTATTATACATTTTGAATGGCCTGTGGAAAAAGATTCTGGAGCAAACCAGGGTTAAATGCATCACCCCAGAGCGCAATCGTGATAAAACCGATGTGATCTAGGTAACTACATTTTTTTTCCCCACTGTATGTAGTTCGTGGGTCACCAGCGGTCAAGTTATGCATACATGCAGCTCTGTGGTTCATCTCTGCGTGTTAATGCAATGACACAACAGAATGGAAGAGAAGACGACGGCCATACATTAGTAATGAATCAAACTAAGTGTGTGCTGAACCCAAATGGGCCTTTAATACATGGCAGCCAAGCACTAGCCGATCCCACAGCTGCCAGAACTTTCACGTGCTGTCAATTATTAACTGATCTATGTTAATGCACACGCTCTGCACTGGGATCAGATGGGTGTGTAGTGTTGCTGAGAGCATGTGAACTTTTAGCATTACTTAGCCTCCCATATCTTTCTTCCTCCCACAGACATAAGATCTCGAAGTTGCATGAGGCCCATCAGTTGGCATTACAGGAAAAACTTTGCCTTGAACGGCAAAGTATTACACACATTACTGTTCAAAAGTTTGGAGTGAGTAGATTTTTTTATATACTTTTATTAGGCAAGGGTGCATTAAATTGATCAAAACCTTCCATTCATCAAAGAATCCTGGAAAAATATATCACTTTTCTACTAAAAATTAAGCAGAACAACTGTTTTCAACATTAATTACAATTAGAAATGTTTCTTTCATATTAAAATTATTTCTGAAACATCATACGAGACTGAAGACTGAAAATTCAGCTTTGCATCACAGGAATAAATGACATTTTCAAATATTTTCAAATAGAAAACAGTTATTTGAAATGTTAACAGAATTTCCCATTACTGTTATTACTGTATCAAATAAATGCAGCCTTGGTGAGTATAACTTTTTCAAAACGTTTCTTTTTTTGCCATTTTTTTTTCAAAAACATTAAAATTTTTTAGCAACCCTAAACTTTTGAAAGGTAGTGTTTATAAATGTAAACAAACATTTTAAGATTTGTGTTCAGAGATTATAGCTTTGACACTTTGATACCCATTTATTTCCTTATTTTCCAAGTAATTAAAAATAGCAAATAAAAAAAGTCAATAATTTTAGGTTAACGCCTAAATATATATATTTATCAAACTAGTTCTGAAGTATTTTAAATATAAAATAAAAACAAGTGTCAATGTGCCAGTGAGGTAAGAAAAATAAACTAATTAATTCAAGATTAAAAATATCAGAAAACGAGTGTTGTCACAGATGGAAACTCAAATATGACCCTAGTAAAAAAAAAGAAGAAAAAAATCTATGCCATAATTTATTTAAAATACATTTATTCCATGCTACGTATTCTTCAAGTCCATTAACATATTTATTGACATATAACTTCAGACTTACAATGAAACATTATTTGGAGTATTTCTTTACTGCACAATGCACATTTCTTAATATAATGCCTAAAATGTGTTTTAATGTCACTATTGATGAGGATTGACCTGTGTATAATATCAGTCTTTAAATGCAAGCTATTTAAAGTGTACCTGAAGTATACTTGCAATAGTTCACTTTAGCAATCAAATATACAGTACTTTATACTTTAGTTAGACTTCAGCACTACTTCCACACATTTAGTATATTAAAAAGTACAATTACAGGGTATTTTTATTAAGTACATAAATATGTAAATGTATTTGTAGTATACTTAGCAGAAAACTAAACTTGGCCTCTACCTAAACACCTGAGACTGGACTCTACCTCAAAGGCTTGAAACTTAGACTTCATCTTGGATTCTTTTTGTAATGCTGGAGACTTGTTTTAAGGATGCTAAAACAAGAAAATGGCTGATTTAGTGAATAATGTGTGTGCATACCAGTCATGGGGACTTCCTGTCTTTCTCGAAGCGACTTTGGGCACTGTAAAGGAAACTGCATGAGTGGTCAGCACACCTCATTGGGCTTCTAAGGCTTCCTGACACATCTAATCATCTGTGATTGTGTGTATTTGAGGAGCTCAGAGGGCCTGTTAAGATAGATCAGTCCCATCCTGAGCAGTTCAGAGCCCTCGGGCTTCTCGCACAGTGGGAGGCTCCATCTATTACGGTGAAGCAGAAAGGTCAAAGCAAGCAAGCAGCAGAGATAGGCTCATTATCTGGCCAGGTCGCAGCGCTGCGTCCACTCCTGACGGCTGTGCTGAGAGCAGTGTTCATTAATGCTCTACAAAGATGAACTGGAAATGCTTGGTGTTTTCCTGCCTCACAGAACTCAGACCCCAATGTAAACTAGTTCTCTATCACCTTTAATTGCCTTTTCAGTGCAGGAACAAGGATTGAAACACTGATGAAGGAACAGTTAACCATTAAGCAAAAAGTCCTGTTTCTTACGTCTTTGTTTCCAAAAGTTCAAATACAGTTTCAAACACAAGCTTTCCTAACACCATTGGCATATTTAAAGGGATAGTTTACCCAAAAATGAAAATTGTGCCATTATTTACTCAATTTCATGTTATTCCAAACACACTCTTAAAAATAACGGTTCTTTATTGGCATCAATGGTTCCACAAAGAACCTTTACCATTCATGGAACCTTTTCAGTCCACGAAAGGTTATTTACAGTGGAAAAAGGTTCATAGATTATTAAAATGTTCTTCACACTAAGTAAAAATGTTTTTTTTTAGAACCGTTCACTGAACGGTTCTTTAGGGAACCAAGACTGGTTCTTCTATGGCATCGCTGTGAAAACCCCCTTTTGGAACCTTTATTTTTAAGAGTACATGTATGACTTTCGATCTTCTGTACAACTCAAAAGAAAATATTTGTAAAAAACATGTTTGGATCCTACTTTCTTTAAAAAAAAAAAAATGAAATTACATTATTATTTATATTCTTTTGTGTTCCTCAGAAGAAATATACACTACTCAAAAGGTTTGGGTCAGTAATTTTTTTAAATTATTATTATTATTTTACCATTTTAATTTAGTTCTATTCAGCAAGAACACAATAAATTGGTAAAAAAAAATAGAACAAAAGTGAACGATTTTGCATTGTAGCAATACTGTTCTCTGCTTTTAAAAATGGTAAAATAATTTTTCTTAGCAAATTTATTTGAATTATATTTCTTCTCATATTGGATGGCATCCTAGTAACATCAAAGTATGCAGAAAGATCAATAAACATAATGGCCTGTGGGCTTGATGTAATGCAGGCAGTTTGTGTTTGTT